GGAACGCCCTCTCCCGCCCCTTTTTTAGTTTTTCAATTTTGAATTTTTTTTCGCAAAATAAATATGTTTTCAAATAAAGTTACAAATTTCAGATTTTTATCTTTAACTGTTTTCTCAAAACAATTTTTTTTTAAAAATGTCCATTTTTTGGCCCTACAAGGTGAGAACCACCTGCCTTAAGGCCAGGTTCCTCTGAAAAACGTACTTTTTTCAATTAATTTTATTTTCATAACAAAAAATGTTGAGTATTCAATTTTTTTATATATGAAAGTATGTATATGAAATTACTAAAAAAAATTTTTAAAATTTTTTTTTTCAAAATGGCGGTCCTGAAAATGGCTGCTGAAACTCGTCCGATTCGTTGATGGATGACACGATTACTTGAAAAATAATTATCTGAATGCAAAAACCAAAATAGTTTCGTGTTCTGCATCGAAGTAGCTATGGCCGGTACCAGAATGAAAAATTTTCCATGAAAAATAAAAAAATGGCGGACTTTTGAATTTTTTTAACCCTTTTTTTCACTTATAATTGTTTATAACTTTTTTAAAAAATAATGAATATTTCTGATTCTGGTACCGGCCACAGCCAGACATATTAAGAGTAAAATGCCGTTTGGTTCAAATCGATAAGGGCCATAGTTTTGAAATGAGAGTGTCATCCATGCGAAAAAACGTGGTACGGAGAAAAATCAGTTTAAAGTTTTTAAGGCGTTCGAGCGGCCGTACTACCAGCAGCGCTCCTCACTCTTTTACACCTACTTCTCGGCCTTGCTGACCTTCGGGACTTATTTTATACTATTTCGACAAGTATATAGTAGCAATTTATGAAAAAAAAAATTTTCATTTTTTCAAAATTGTTGAGAGGAACCTGGCCTTAAGGGGAGGTTCTTTTGTTTTTTTTTTTTTTTTAAAATTGATTTTTTTTTTTTTTTATAAAATGAAAGTTACAAATGTGTAGAATATACATACGTTCCAAGGGATATTTCGATACGACGCGTATTTCTTGAGCTAGAGCGTGTCAAACATACCCATGTCAAGCGCGCTGTGGTACGCTCTAAAAACTTTAAACGCGTTTTTCTCGGAACCATGTTTTCAAACATCTTGTCGCGCACAGGGGTCGTTCTATTGATCCGATTACTTTTTATATTACTTTTTTATATTATATACTTTTTTGTATGCCTTATACCTAAAATTGGCATAAAAAATTGTTTATTTCTAATTTTTAAACGAGATCAAAGTAAAAAAAAAAAGTCAATTTTTTTTAAACGTCCATGAAATTGGTTTATTTTTACCAAAATTGATTGTTTTTAGGTTAAGGCATATGTTAGGAAATTCCATCAATTTTAATAAATAATTTACATTTATAATTTCGGTTCACTACCAGCGGCCCTACACTCGACAATGCAGAAAAATAGAGGTCTACGAGATCCGCCATTTTGAAGCCGCCATTTTGAATTTCCTGAATATTGAATATTTTTTTTAATCGTTAATAAACAACGAATCAAAAGTTCGAAAGCATAAGTTCGTATGTCTTTTCATTTTCCCGCAATCAATTCTCAAAGTTTGCTTAATTTTCGGAAAAAAAACAAAAGAACCTCCCCTTAAACAACTACCTCGGCATCTACAACAGGGATGTACTGGAAATGTGAAAGACGAGCAAGAGTTAATTCTACACACGTCAGTTATAAAAGCACTGGTCCTGCAACGAGAATGAATCCTGTGCGTACTGTACAAATAGGATCTTATTTAGGGGAGAGTGGGGATAGGTGAACCACTTTTTTTGTTGAACATTATTATGTCTGAACAATTCGACGTTAGGGTCTGCTGTTTATAGGAATCTAAAAGAGCATTCATTCCTTTGCATTTAAAGTATTTTGTGAAAATAATATGTCACGTTTTTTGATAGTTGAACCATCTTTCAGGCTAATGGAATATTTTGAAATGCGTGAGATATACGTGGAAATAACATAATTTGCGTCTATTTAAGTTAACAAAAAATTTTCTAGAGTTCAATGCCACAGGCGGAGCACAATAAATTTTTCCCAAGAAAACGTAAGGTCGCAAATAGCTGCGAAAGGCGCACAAAAACTTTGATTAGTGATAGAAATGACAGCAATTGTTTGACGCGATCGCGCGTCACCTACCTCCACTCTCCCCTATTATTGTCTTTATGGTCTTTATGTCTACATGGTCTTAACGTACAAGGGGATAATCTTGTTGGCAAGCCTTACGTTGCTCCTTACAAGATTTGTTCCCACATCAAAACAGACAGTAATCTGTTCTAGTGCTGCGCTCTCTGCAACTTGTTTCTAAAATCTTTTTTAATTCGGCGGTTCCGAAATGAAGTACGTCGACGGGTCTCTTATTTGTAACGAGGAATGAGTTCTACCGTGTCAGCAAGCCGTGTTAGCTAATTCGCTTAGTGTAGAATGGAAACGCCGCTCTACTTGTCCGTTGGATGTGGAAAAATGTTTATAGCAATCTTTACGTTTTCGATTGTTAGCGATGAAACCAATTGGGCAACAGCGAATTTGAAAATGTTCTTTGTGAAACATATCTCGATATACAAAAGCTTGCCTGTAAATGAGGGGATCGGTGTTTCACATAGATTTTTTTAAATGCCCTTGAATCTAAAAAAAAATTTTTATAAAAATCGGACAACTATATCATATAGCTACCATATGAAAAATCAAAAAATCTATATAGAATTTACGGAAATTAACGAAAAAAAATTATAAAATCGTTGTTTTTCATATAGAGTTTTCTAATGACTCTCAAATTTCGAGTTAAATTTCATAAAAGTCGGCGACTATATCATATAGCTGTCATATAAAAAGTCGTCGAAAATATAGACGAATAACGAATAATCGTCATAGCTTTGTTTATTGAATCTTCTCCTTACGAGACTAACAATAAGTGTATCAAATCTTATACTATAACCTAACTATCAGTCATAAAGACTGAAACAGTAAAAATGGCCCTGACAAATTATGGCTAGGTTGGAAGGTTGTTACGTTGTGGGCGGGTTCTTCTGGAAACCCGAGTCAGATCCCTTGCGAGAAGATTTGGTTGTGCTGAGAGTTTTTCCTTTTATGATGCTTTTTGCTTCTCTATTTCATCTTTTACTGCGAGAATGCCAAGGTCCCTGTGGATGTTTTCATTTCGAATATACCATGGTGCCCCAGTGATAGTTCTCAGGATCTTTGCTTGAGCGCGCTGTATGATGTCTATGTTAATTTTGCTCGCGTTTCCCCAGAGCTGGGAGCCATACGTCCATATTGGTTTAAGAGTGGAGTTGTAGACCAGTACCTTGTAGTCCAGACACATGGGCGATCGGGCGTTTATAATCCAGTGGAGGCTGCTGGCTTTCAGTTATAGATGTAGTTTCTTGCATTCGATGTGTCTACGCCATGTTAGGCGTCTATCGAGGTGGACGCCGAGATACGTCACTTCGTTGACTTGGGGGATCTGTGTGCTATTCAAGTAGATCGGAGGGCATGTTTGTCTGTTGAGAGTAAACGTTATGTGTTTACACTTCTGTTCATTTATTTTGATACGCCAGTCGGATAGCCACTTCTCTACTACCGTGAGGTGGTTGGCTAATTGGGATCAACACCCCAATTAGTAGTCCGTGCAACCACGGACTGGGCATCTGGAGCGGCTGAGGATCGCAGTATCGTCAGCGAAGGTGGATGTTAGTAGTCGGTCGCTCGTGGGAATATCCGCTGTACAGTAGGTCCAAGTGCGCTTCCTTGTGGGACTCTAGCTTCGATTTTATGGTTTTCGGATGTTGTTGTGTTGCACCTCACTGCGAAGACTCTGTGGTAGAGATACGACTCAAGTAATTTATGAGTGTATCCGGGAAAGTGTGTTTTGATTTTATGCATGAGACCGTTGAGCCAGACGCGGTCGAATGCTTGGGATACGTCGAGGAATATCGCGCTGCAGTATTCTCTATGTTCGAAGGCTGTGCGAATCTCTGATGTTAGTCTGGTGACTTGCTCGATAGTTCCATGTTTTTCTCTGAAGCCAAATTGATGGGCTGGGATAATGTTATGAGCTCCCATATATGGTAATATGCGTGTTAGAAGGCATTTTTCGAACAGATTGGACAGGCATGACAAAAGACTTATTGGTCTGTAAGAGGACGGAATCGTGTGATCTTTTCCGGACTTCGGTATCATTATTATTATTGATTTTTTCCATTTTTTTGGGTAGTAGCCAAGACTTATGATCCCATTGAAGAGTTTACAGATGACCTCAATAGCACAGTTTGGAAGTTCAATTATTATTTTTGGAGTTATTTGGTCACCGCCAGGAGCCTTTTTCGGTTTTAGCCCCTGGATGACTTTGGTGATCTCGTTCGGTCGAAACGGTGTTATCATGGATTCACTTTCAGTTTGGATTTGCGGTAGAACAAAAGGATTTGCAGCGGGATTCGAATGGAAGACGCCCCTTAGATGTGAGGCAAATGTTTCGGCTCTGTCTGTGGCGCTGCGCGCCCAGCCACCTGCAGAGTTTCTTATCGGGAAGACGGGCTCAACCGGAGAGCTTAGGTTTGGGTGAGCTTTCCACAAGGGATGCTTTGCACTAGTTGGAGAGAGTTTCTCAATATATCTCAGTTGTGCGTTTTCAGCGTTTTCATCTTGCTTCAGAACCCGGTTTAGTTTCCGGGTGGCTTTATTTAGACGTTGCTTTGAGCATGGCGAATTTGCAGTTTGGTTTTGAACTTTTTTATTTGCACGTCATGTTGTTGTGGTGTTGAGATCCTGGCTGCTGTGACGAGTACCTCTTCCAGTCGATGTCCGCTTCGATATTGAGCTGGGTGGTCAGCTCAATGTGGGAACTCACGTACTTCCTGTATTTCATCCAGTCAGTCCTTTCTTGTTAAGGTTCTGATTTTAATTCTGTAGAAAAATTTAGGCTCTTGGCAATATTTTAAAAATAAATACCTTCCTTTAAAACAGTTTTTAATTTTAAATTCTGTATTTACCTTAGGTTTTATCGTGTGCTTGATGTTTCTCGGAATCAAGTTATACAGAAAAACTACAGTGTCGATAATATTTACACACCAAGCTTTCGTCGGAGCTTGTTTACGATCGGAATATTAATGCGCTACTTTGATTTTAAGACTCCTATTGCGTTAGGTAAGTATTTAATAGTTAATTTTACTTCGTTCCTCGATATTCAATTTAAAAATTATTTTCGTTATTTCTCGCTTCTAAATAATTATTTAATAATAATAATTATTTAATAATTTTTTTTTCGATCAAATTTCATCATTTTAAAATTATTATTTTTTTGGTTTAAAGGGCACAACTAGTGTAACGGCCTAAAAAAGGTTATTTTTGGGAATTTTTATTAAAAAAACTATTTGATCAATTATTTTAGAATTTTCAGAATATATTTATACATGTTTTAAGAATATACAGTGAAATTTTTAAAGAAAAAAATTAAATATTTTTTAAGTTAGGACCGATCTCCAACGGCCCAAAAAAAAAAAAAAAGTGCCTTAACTGCTGCAGTGATTTCGGCCCTCTCCGTGGATGAAATCAAAAAATGAAAAATTCTCGTTAAACTAGATGATATTGTCTATACAATGACCTACGATAAATAAAAAAGATCAAAAATTGACAAAATGGCGGTGTTTAAAAAAAAAAAAAATCGAATTTTAACCAAAATTTTGGTAGTTTTTGGCCTGCCAAAATTTGATTTTTGATCGGATCAAAAAATCGATAGGTCATTGTAGGGAGAACTATATATAGAACATGTAAAAAAAATTTGATAGTGATCGGATCATTAGTTATTGAGTAATCACTGCAGCAAATTCGGAAAATATTGTTTCGAGAAAAACGCGTTTAAAAATAAAATGATCGTGTGCACTTTTATGAGAGCGGCTGCTCTTTAAATTGTTATAACTCAAAAACTATTTGAGATATCGATTTGAAATTTTAATATGTTATTTTATTTTAGAAAAAAAAAAGATTTTTTGAAATGTCACACTAGATGTGCCCCTTAAACCTTATACATTTTACTTGACATTTTTGATGACTGCGAGACTATACACTTGGCCCTCGCTTAACACGGACTCGTTTAGCACGAACTCGGTCTTACACGGTTACAAATTTGTTCCTATCCCCCTTTTAACACGCTAAAAACCTAGTTCTTCCACGATTGCACGACTAATTTCTTATGATAAGGGCCAACAAAAAAAAAAAATATTTTAACAAACTAGATTAAACCTAAATGCCATCTAACGCATTTTAAATTTGATATGCATAGAAGCCACTGACCATGATCTGCTTACTTTTTTACATTTTTATGTTTCTATAAAGTTTAACCTGTTAATTAACTATTCATTTGCATAGGACAGTTGTCAGTAATCACTTTTGTATAGTGCGCAGTTTGCTTAAAACGTTTTTTTTTTTTTTTCCAATCTGATGCTATTATTGATCAAATTAAACTAAAATAGGCCTTGGATTGGCACTCCAGGATAAAGATGGGAAAATGGATGGGGGAAAATTGATGCATATTTGGATACAGGCCTTAATGTGAGCTAAATCGCCATGAAAATAAAAAAAATCGTGAAATGTTGCAAACGATTTATTGGCAGATAATGAAAAAAATAAAAAATAAAAATATAAAGGACTCCAAAAAACAAAGTTAAACGTTCGAGATAAGCGGCTTATAGTGAAAAATTCCACCATGTCCTGCGCCGGTTTGGCTCATTATGAGGCCAGCAAGGTGTCTAAAGCTTAAAGATACTTCATTTTATTTATAGTTTTCATTATCTGCCAATAGATCGTGTGCAACATTTTGCGATTTTTTTTATTTTCGTGGCGAATTAGCTCACATTAAGGCCTGTATCCAAATATGCATCAATTTTCCCCATCCATTTTCCCATCTTTATCCTGGAGTGCTGATTCAAGGCCTATTTTAGTTTCATTTGATCAATAATAGCACAAGATTAAAAAAAAACGTTTTAAACAAACTGCGCACTGAACACAAGTGATTACTGACAACTGTCCTATCCAAATGAAACGATTTTCCACATGCAAAAAACAATGCAGCAGTGCAAAAACTCAAATAAAAAAGTGGGGAAAGCAATAATGAAAAAATGTAACTGCTTTTTAGAATCACAATATAACAGAGATTTTTGTCTTCGCCACGAGCGATCAACCATAAAAGTTGCTAGGTGTCCTATCCAAATGAAACGAACTGTATATGAAACAACTTTTTAAATTTAACAACTTTAATAAATTAATTTTGAAAACATGAATGTTATGTATTTATTAAAGGCATATACATAATAACTTTTGGTTAATTTTAAGGGGGGGGGTAAGGTTTTAAAAAAATTTTTTTTACTTTTTTTTTTTTTTTTTTTTTTTTTTTTTCTGAATGACCAATGTGTCGAGAACATTGTGTAAAAATTTTGAGTCAGTTAAAGTCAAACTAACGGAGTTACAGCGTTTTAAAGAACCGTATTTGGACGTATTTTCACGTTTAAAAATACTTTAAATCGATTTTGCCGAAGACGCTATTTTGAAAGTCGGTGAACATCAGAGCTCAAAATCTACTGAACCGATCCTTTTCAAATTTTTAACACAAATTCTCAACATAAATACGCAGGTAATCAGGAAGAGTTTTTTTAATTTTCAATTTTTTTCTATTTTTAAAAAATAAATTAACAGCGATTTTTTAAGCTAAAATCGCACTTTTCACTTTCAAGTGCTCCCAAAAATAGACAAAAAATAAATTTAAAAAAATCTCTTTCTGATTACCTCGGTAAATTCATTATCTTTACAACGCATATCACATTTTTTTTTAAGATGATCCGTTAACGCCCTATGATGTTCACCGCAAAACAACTTTTTCTTTGGGCGCTTCGGAAGATTAACCGCCACAGGCGTATTTCTTAATATTTTTTAATAATTTTTTTTTCTAATACTCTTCAAAAGTTAAACAACAACATGTAATTAAGCTCAATAAAATAAACTTACTCATTTCGCCGCAAAAAAAAATCAAACATGGCCCTTTTTTTGGCCTTTAAAACCTTACCCCCACCCCCCCCTTAAGGAAAAGTATGAAACTTTAATAAAAACAAACCAAATTTAAAAAAAAAAAAAATTTGTATGCTGCCAATTTTGAATTTGAGAACGTAACCCCTTAGTTTGTACTGAATCCATGTTTCACTTAACACGAGGATTTCTAGGAACGTATCCCCCGTGTTAAGCCAAGTGTATAGGCTTTTGCTCGACAAAGCTAGCTTTTTTTCTTGTTGTAATACAATTTAACAAATTTTACAAGCTACAAATTTTACAATCTGGACCAAAACCTGTATTACGACATTATAAGATGTATAATAGAAATAACCATAACCACATTACATAGGCATAGTTTACAGTAGGATTACAGCTATAAAATACACTGATCTTAAGAGATAATTTTCAACGACATTTAATGCCAGATGTAGGCGTTTTATTGGCTAAAGTATGTAGGCTTCGGCGTGTCGATACTTTCTTGTTTGAATAAGGATTATTTTGTTTCTATACTTTCAGGTGAGACAGGTGGAGGACTTCCTATTTCGATATGCGATGACGTTTTCGATTGTTTGATGTTCTTCTGTAGTTGCGCAAATCAGGAAATACGAAAACAGGCACTCATCTCACTTGGATCTTTTTGCGTATTAAATGATAACTACCTTACCAGATGCGAGCTTAAAAATATGTATTGTCATATATTAAGCGCAAACACAAACGATGCCGGGTTTAAAATAATCTGCATGCGAAATATTTGGATTTACTTAACAGAGTCTGAAATGTTTATGCACAACAAGGAAAAAGAATGTAAGAAAATGCAATAAGAGTGGTATAATTTTTTGGGAGACCTGTAGCAAACGGCAAAACGACCAAAGCAAACTCGAGCGGATTGTCGAAACCGTCAGACAAAATTAAAGATCAACACATTTCAATATATCCTCTTTTAAATAAAAACTTTAAGTCTCACGAGAACGATTTCGAAAAATTCAAAAGTCCCAATTATGTAAGATGCTGCAAAATTATTTGTAATAAGGATTGTTTTTATAACATGTTCTATATAAGACAATTGCAGGAAAAACATAAGACTGTAACACTTTTTATACTCCTACAGAGGGTATTACAGGGTCCGGCACTCGAAGTGCAACCAATTAAAAAAGGTTATAAATTAAGTTTGGAAAGTTAATTTTATTTATTCACAGCTCAATATGTGTAAAAATAATCTAAAATTTAAGAAAAATTAATTTTTGCTCGATATTACCACCTTTTTCCTTGACTATGGCCTTGAGACGGTCGAAGAACGAATCGCAAGCTGCTCGAATGTGACTTGACTGGTGTATTTTTTAGTTCAGACCTTGCTCTCCAAAATGTGGTGAATTCGAGGGCCATTTTGTGGACGTTATGAACATTGTTTTCCAGCAATTCTTAGTTCACTCTGGCTTTATAAGACGGTGCTGAGTCCTGTTGAAATGTCCATGGTCTGCCACCGAAATGTTTGTCTGCCCACGGCTTCAAGGCAACCTTCAAAATACTTTCCTGATAATATTTTGCATTTACATTGACGCCAGGCTCGATAAAACGATTGGAGAGCGCCCATCTGGGGTTACAGCGGCCCAAATCATTACCTGTGGTGGGTGGTTCGTACGAACAGTCAGTCAAGTAAACCCTATCGTTTTGGGTGTTTACAAATTGCTCAATTGTAAAAATGTTCTCCTCAGAAAACACAATGTTCGGAAATTGCCCACTTGCGGCCAAGCGAAGCAACTTCTTTGCTCTCTTAAGTCTGACTTGTTTTTGCTTCTGTGTAAGGTCATGAGCCTTAATGAGATAATTTTTCAGTATGCGGCGGATGCTACGGTCAGATATTTTTAGTTCTTTCGCCATTTGATTGGCACTTTATCGGAGTTTTCGCTCAAGTTGCTTCTTCACCTTTTGAACCATCATTCGTGACGTTGCAGTTTTTTGATGACCACCACCTTCAAAAAGTGGTAAACAATTCCTTTAACTGTCATTTGGCAAACTTACAGTCAGCTGATGCCCATACATCAGTTGCACGAGCGGTGTGAAATTTTGTTACACTTCGAGTGCCTGCCGCACTATGTATATAATTTCTATATATATGGTCATGATCAGCATCACGATCTCAATCGAAATACTTCTGTACGTCTGTCCGTTTCTATGTAAACTAGTCTCTCAGTTTTAAAGCTCTTTGATGAAACTTTACCAAAAGTTGTGTAGTTATTGCAGGTAGTATATAAGTCGGAATGGGCCGGATCAGGCGACTATATCGGATAGCTCCCACACAAGAGATAAAAAAAAAATGATTACTCCGTTGTTTTTGATCATATCGACTTGATTTCATCCAGACATTTTTAACTGCAATCAAATTTTGAATTAAATTTATCAAAATCGGATAATTATTGGGTTGGCAAGAAAGTCATGTCGTTTTTTTTAGTAATCGTTTTTAATCTAATTTATTTACGACTCATACTTTTTAGTATCGTTTTAAAGCTTATTGTCTTAGGTACTATCGACGAAAATTTGGTAATTACTCGATAACATTTGTGGAAGCTATAGCAAATTAAACATGGAGGACCAACGTGAGCATTTTCGGCATATTTTGCTTTTTTACTTCGAAAAAGGAAAAAAAGCGGTCGAAGCTCGCGAAAAATTGTGCGAAGTGTATGGTAAAGATGCCATGAGTGATCGCCAATGTCAGCGCTGGTTTGCCAAATTCAGGCTTGGAGATTTTGGAGTTAAAGACGCCCCACGTTCTGGTCGACCATCGGCCGTTTTTGACGAACAAATTCAGGCTTTGCTGGATGAAAACAGGCGTTGTTCAACGCGGGAGATGTCAGAGAAGCTCAAAGTGTCGCATACAACGGTTGAAAACCATTTGAAGAAACTTGGCTACGTAAGCAAGCTCGATGTTTGGGTTCCGCATAACTTAAAGGAAATTCACCTAACTAAGCGTATCAACATCTGCTATTCTCTGCTGCAACGGACTAAAAACGATCCTTTTTTGAAGCGGATCATTACTGGCGACGAAAAGTGGGTTGTTTACAATAATGTCCAACGAAAAAGATCATGGAGCAAGAAAGATGAGCCAGCCCAAGCCACATCAAAGGCCGATATCCATCAGAGGAAAGTTATGCTGTCCGTTTGGTGGAATTGGAAGGGTGTAGTGCACTTTGAGCTGCTGGGACGGAATGAAACCATCAATTCAGATGTGTACTGTCGCCAGCTATTCAATTTGGCGGAAAAAATTAAAGAAAAGGAGCCGGCACTAGCTAATCGCAAGGGTATAGTCTTTCACCATGACAACGCTAGGCCCCACACATCTTTGGTCACTCGGCAAAAATTAACGGAGCTGAATTGGGAAGTGCTACCACATCCACCTTATAGTCCGGACTTAGCACCTTCAGATTACCATTTGTTTCGCTCTCTTCAAAACTCTTTGAATGGTAAAAACTTTGATTCAGATGAGGCTGTCGAAAACCACTTGTCTCGATTCTTTGCTGGAAAAGACCAAAAGTTCTTCGAGCGCGGAATTATGCAGCTGCCCGAAAGATGGTCATTAGTGGTCGAACAAAACGGCCAATACATAATTTATTAATTATAAGTCTTGATAGAAATAAATCATCTTTGAAAATATTGAAAAAAAACGACATGACTTTCTTGCCAACCCAATACATCATATAGCTGCCATAGGAAAGATGGAAAAATCTTTATAGAATTAATAAAAAAAAACATCGTTGTTTTTCATCAGAAAATGTACATTTTTTAAATACATATAGAGTTTTCTAATGAAATAAATTTCATTTAGCTTTCTTGTATTTTGTTCGATATATTTGATGACTTCAAGGGTATATAAGCTTCGACATCCCGAAGCTAATTTCTTTTCTTGTTTTTTTTAATGATTTTTGAATGTTCTAAATTTGTAGGGGAAAAACAATCAAAGCACGAAGATCTTAAGGAAATGAACGATGTTACCTCTGGGATGGCGAGTCGAATAATTCAACTTTACCTAGAAGAAATTCTCGAATGCTTTCTTAATCGAGATGATAATGTACGGTTGTGGGCTGTAAAAGTTATACAGATTGTTCTTCGTCAAGGATTGGTTCACCCAGTTAGAATGGTACCGTATTTAATTTGTCTGAGTACTGATCCTAAGGTGGAGGTTAGTAATGAATTGCTTATTTTTGCCTAACAAATATTAAAGTTCAATATTTTTAGTCCGCCCACAGAGCTGATGCTTTATTGAAAGACATTGATAAAACGTATTCTGGATTTGTAAACATGAAAGTTCAATTTGGATTACAACTTTGCTTTAAGTTACAAAAAGTTTTACAAATAAATAATAGAGGGAGACTTGAAATAATAAGAGGTTATGCGTAAGTATCTTAAATAATATATGCAGAAATCATAATTAAAGGATAAATTTTAACATTTAAGGAGTCGTGGACCAGATCAAGTAACAACAGCTCTAAACGACTTTCTTTATTCTCTACTTCGGACTACTAAGCCACAAAGGCGTGCATTGGTGCAAACAGTTACAAAACAATTCGATGACCAGAAAACATCATTACAACAAATGTTGTACATAGCCGATAATTTAGCTTATTTTCCCTATGTAGTTCAAGATGAACCTCTATATCTTATACATCAAATTGATCTACTCATCTCAATGGCTGGAACCCATTTACTTGCTACGTTTAAAGAACATTTAAAACCAAAAGACAAAGATGAAGATGTTTTAGAAGATGATGATGATGTAGAAGATCCACAGCTTCTCTTTCACCGATTGCCCGAAGATATGACAGAAATAAAAAAATGTATAACGTCCGCCCAAGCGTGTATGCTTCTTTTAATACTAAAAGATCATTTAAAGGACATGTACGGAATTACAGATAGTAAAATTGCAAGATATTCGCCATCCGAACCAAAATTATATGAAAAGGCTGTAACACGTAAAAACGTTGCTGACTTTAATCCGAAAACAACCATTGATGTAATTAAAAAACAGATGTCACAACAGATTTCGATCACGGACAGCCATTTTCCACTTTCCAGCGAGGAGAAACTGGACCTTGTGATTAAGTACCTTGATGTAGGTATAACATAAAAATTAATTTTCTGTGTTTTAACTTGGTTTTAGTTTAAGCAACTTATGTTAAAACTGGACCCAGAGGAAGCAGACTCAGAAGCTGACGAATCCCGCGATAAATCAGTTTTAAATATTTCAACTTTTTCCGACGGTGTAGTTAATTCCAATTCAACAAAAAATGTTCATACAACCAATGATGAATGCTTTTTTAACTCTTCGGTAAGTATAACACACACACAATTAGTTTAGAAAACGCTTGCAGAAGGTATTACAAATTTAGTCAAAAGTTTGCAGAGGAGTGAAGGGCCGTTTCTACGCAAAATAGTCTTCATTTTTAAGTATATTTGGCTTAAACTCTACCAAAGGTTTTGTAGCTATTGCAGTTGCTATTTCATATAACTTCATAGGAAAGATCGCAAAAATAATGGAGCCAAAGCTTATATACCCTTGCAGTTATCACCAATTTAACCAGATTTTTTCTCTTGTTATACTCTTGCAGAGGGTACTATAATATCAGTCAGAAGTTTACAACGTAATGAGGCGATATCTCAGTCCCAATAAAGAGGTCTTGGTCAGCATCACCATCTAAATAGATGTAGACTTGTACGGACTTGGTCTTTTTCTATGGGACCCTAGTCCTGCCTTTAAAGCTATCTCTATAACACATTACCAAAAGTTGGGTCAGATCAGACGACTATATTGGGAAGCTCACAAAGAGGAGATCGCAAAAATACCGGGAAAAAAATTTGTTCACCGTTTTTTTTAAACACATTGGCATGTTTTTTATAGGTACTCTTTCAGAGGGTATTATAATTTCAGTCAGACGTTTGCAACGCAGTGAAGGAGACACCTCAAACCCCATAAAGTATATACAGTAGAATCCGCTTATAGCGACTTCAAGGGACCGACGATTTTTCGTCGTTATACCCGGAAGACGCACTAAGCAGAAGGATTTAAGTGTATAAGTCTGTAAAGAGACCAATCAAGCCATGGAGTATTCGTCGCAAAAACCGGACTGACACTATAAGCGGAGTCGTTATAACAGGATTCTACTGTACATATATTCTTAATCAGCAACACGATCTGAATCGAAATACGTCTGTACGTCTGTCCGTCTGTCCTCCTTTCTGTTTCTATGTAAACTAGTCTCTCAGTTTTAAAGCTATCTTGCTAAAACTTTACCAAAAATTGCGTAGTTATTGCACGCAGCATATAAGCCGGATCGGGCGGCTATATCCCATACGAGAGATAAAAAATAATATCCCACTGTTTTTGATCATATTACGGTTTTTTTTTTTTTGAATTTTTTATTATTTCACGAAAAATAGAAGGAAGGCACTTCAAGGCACATAAAGAAGTGCCCTTGTAATTGGGACCATTTTACAAAGATCGAAAAAGCCTGTGTTGTCTTCGATTGGTAAACTTTTGTAAAAGCAGTTTAAAAATCTAGAATGTATAGTGCTTTAACCAATTCATTTTTTAACACCCAGTAGCTATGACACCTTAAACTCTTCTGCTTCATCATCCTTACCAATAAAAAATTTTTAAGAACCGGAGATGGATTTTTGGAAAATTGTAAAACGCGACCAAGGAAATGATAACTTGACCATGTTCTTTGAATGCAAGCATCAAGCGTAAAAAAAGCTGCATTTTTCTTTGGTTCATTAAAATTTTAACTTATTTTTATTTATACTTATTCTTTAGTTTGATATAATTTAGAATGCGCAGCATGATAGTTGCCTCTCTGTCAGATTTGGCAATAAAATTTGTATTCTGGCGAACTTGAAAACAAATAGCCAATCAGTTCGGACGTCGTACCAAATGCGATAGGATATAATATTATTTAGAGTCAGAAGTATAAAACATTGCATCGGCCAACAACTAACTAACTACAGCTTTTCGAATTACATCAGCTAAATTTTCATTGCCTTTTAAATGGGAAGAAATGGCTCGGAATAAGTAAGATCATCACCTGGTATAGAAACTATAGAGAGGTAGCGCCAATGTGCCAGTCCACATATGTATACGTTAAGGTGGGCTTCTCATGTAAAATTTAAAAAAAATCGAATTTTTTTCATAGATCGATAGAATAACGTCTTGAGAGTATTTTCCCGAAGTTTTATGACTCAACTCTCAATATTATGGAAAAAATGAGTGATTGAACGAGCGCGCTCGGGCGCGCTTTGTGTGCTAACTCAAAAGTTTAAATCGTTTTTTCTGAAAACTATGATTTTAAAAACGCGGTACACGATTACGAAAAAACTACTGAACCGATTTCTGATTTCTAAAAAGTGTTTTGCAGATTATACATTGAACGAGTGCATGAATATCTGAAATTGTGAAAAAAGTTATTTTATACACTTTTTAGCCCAATTCAGCAAAAAAAAAGACGAAAAAATGGCACTTTTTTTCAAGACGTGATTTCAATATTTTAAAATCGAATTTTTTGAAGTTGCAGACATTCAGGCACTCGGGGGGGCCTTTCTGAATAAAAAAAAATTTTTTGTAAAAAAAAAAATAAACTTTGGGCTCCACACTGTACCGCAATAAGTCCCTCAGCCGCGTCGAGCCACACGCGACCTTGAATAAGTCCGCCATTTTGTTTTTTAGAATTTTCAAAAAATGTTTTTCTCATACTTTAAACATGTCTTCAAATATATGCAAAAAATTATTCGTGTAAGTTTTCATTTTCCAAGTGAAAAAAATTCCCAAAAAACAACTACTTTTTGAAATGTTACATGAGAAGCCCCCCTTAATATATATTTTCATTCTCAACAAATAATTTGAAAAAAACCTAATGTTTTAAAAAGTTTTAAAATATAATTTTGGTATGGAGCGGTATGAAATGATTAAAAATAACGCTATAAAGCCAGCCAAGCGAATTCATTGTTTTCGCAAGGCTAACTTTCTGAGACTTAATCATCTTATATCTGGCAATGACTGGTCCGATCTCTATTCCTGCAATAATATGGAAGACGCCATTACAATTTTTTATTTGGCAATCAAACTGTTTTTTAACTTGTGTGTTCCGCTATATAACCCGTCAACATCCCATAAACCACCTTGGTTTAGCAAAAAGTTGACACACCTTAGGAATTTAAAGTCCAGACTTTATAAAAAATATAAAATTTCAGGTTGTCAGTCTGTTTTTACCGTGCTTAACGCTCAGTGTTACAAGAATTATTTAGTCCGTTGCAGGTCCCAGTTTTTACGGGATCCCAAACAGTTCTATAATTTTGTCAACACTAAGCGCAGATCATGTTCCTTTCCGCCTTCGCTTTCGTTTGAAAGTAGGACGGCTAACACTGATCAGGCAATAGCCGATCTGTTTGCCCAATTCTTTCAAACAACTTACTCAACAGTGTCTCATTCAAGTGAGCAATATTTATACGCAATACCTAAGTCGAACCTAATATTTCGTTCCACCTTAAACGAAAGCTCCCTACTTTTGGATCTTCAACGTGTTACACCAGTTTACTCCCCAGGTCCTAACGGGATTCCTGGGCGTGTTCTTAAACACTGTGCAAATGCATTGTGTAAACCCCTTCTCAAACTGTTTACCCTATCCCTACAAACTTTGTCATTTGTTATTCCCCTTCATAAAATGGGAAGCAAGTCGGATGCTTGCAATTATAGAGGTATTTCTAAATTGTCAGAAATTCCAAAGCTTTTCGAACGTGCAGTAACCCCCCACTTGCAGCACCTTTGTAGATCAATCATATCTCCATGCCAACACGGATTTATGAAACGCAGGTCTACCACAACAAATCTTTTAGAGCTCACATCCTTCGTGATAGATGGCTTTAAAAATAATTTCCAAACTGATGTCATTTACACAAACTTTAGTAAAGCATTTGACTCTGTAAATCACTTCCTAATGATTCGCAAACTTGACATGATGGGGTTTCCAGCAGATCTTTTAAGTTGGATCTTTAGTTATCTCAAAGAGTCCTTTTCAAAAATTCCTTAAGTAGTATCCTCAGAGTTACCTCTGGTGTACCACAAGGAAGCCATCTGGGACCATTACTTTTTACCTTGTTTATCAATGATCTTCCATCGATCATTGCGCATTCCCGCGTATTTATGTACGCGGACGATGTAAAACTGTGTCTGCAGTATAATGATTACTCCCGTCACTTAAACCTTCAAGCAGACCTAAACAATTTTCAAAACTGGTGTCACGAAAATTTACTGAAATTAAACAGCTCTAAATGCAAGCTGATGACGTTTTGTCGGGTCAATCCACAAAATGTCACCTATTCACTAAGTGGTGGTGCCTTGGAAAGAATAGCGCTTGTTGACGATCTTAGCGTCCAATTGGACCCCAAACTTAAATTCTCTGCTCATATTTCGAACATGTTTAATAACATGCTTGGAATGCTTGGATTTATTAAACGATGGTCGAAGGAATTTGAGGATCCTTATGTTACCAAGGCTTTATTTATATCGTTGGTCCGGCCAATCCTTGAGTATGGGGCACCCGTTTGGAGTCCTCAATACGGAGTACATGCTGATCGCATAGAATCAGTACAAAAAAACTTTTTAATTTTTACCCTACGCCGCCTAAACTGGAATGCAAACCTATTCCTACCCTCATATTCTCATAGATTGCTCCTCATTAACTTGCCCTCCCTTACAAACCGTAGAACGATGCTTGGTACTGTATTTATTCATAACCTTATACGTGGTGAAATTGACTGTCCTTACTTGCTGAGTAGACTAAATTTCTCGGTACTAAGTAGATTTACTAAAAATTATGCTCCTTTAGTTTTAAATCCTTGTAGATCTAATTACGACGTGCATGAGCACGCATGCATGAGATCAATTCTAACATTTCTGGCACCAAATTAGATCGTTAAATTTAAAATTAAAATAACATTTAACTTTCTTTCCTTACCTTTCGTTTTTTAATTTTTTTTCTTTTAAAAATCGCGTCAAAATTTATCGCGAATCGTGCCGTACGATACACGGCGGTCGCCCCTCGGTCGGTGGGCGGGATTGTGGGCCGTGGGACAACAAATAATTTGAAAAAACCTAATATTTTAAAAAGTTTTAAAATATAATTTTGGTATGGAGCTGTATGAAAATGATTCCCAATGTAAAAATAATTTATGAATGCAATTAGTTTACTTTTCACCCTAAACCCTGCTGCCCCGATAACTAAAATGTGTTAGTGCAAAAATTGTATTTTGACATTTTTTTCTTGTACGAAGTTCGAAGGAAAACAAGATACATAGGTACATATTTGATTTTATTGTTATATTGTTCTACATATATGTACGAGGTGTGTTCAAAAAGTATCGCGAATTGTGTGTTTTTTTCAAAAATTATTTATTTATTCATGAATATCTGTTTTATCCCCTTCAAAGTAATCCACATGAGATATGCGCTTGTGCCAACGGTTTTTCCAATCTTTGAAGCACTTCATCTCGTCTTTATCTCGTCAAGTGTAGCGTAACGTCGTCCTTTCATGGGCCTCTTCAGTTTAGGAAACAAGAAAAAATCACAGGGGGCCAGATCTGGGGAATACGGTGGCTGCGGCATCATTAGTGTGTTGGTTTTGGCCAAAAAGTCGCGCATAAGCAACGATGTGTGAGCAGGGGCGTTATCGTGGTGCAAAAACCAATTTTTGTTCTTCCACAAATCCGGGCGTTTCTGGCGGATTGCTTCGCGCAAATTGCGCATAACTTGCAGGTAATATTCCTTATTGACCGTTCTTCCCTGTGGCAAGAACTCATGATGCACCACGCCCCTGCAATCGAAGAAAACTGTCAGCAAAACTTTCACATTCGACCGAACTTGGCGCGCTTTTTTTGGTCTTGGTTCGTGCGGCATTGAGATGATTGAGCTTTGGTTCCCGCGTCGTAACCATAAACCCACGATTCGTCACCAGTTATGACCCTCTTGAGCAAATTTGGGTCGTCGCGGACAGAGTTAAACATCTCATTAGCAATGTTCATGCGATGCTATTTTTGGTCGCAATTGAGCAATTTTGGTACGAAATTCGCGGCGACCCGTCTCATGCTCAAATCATTGATAAAAATCGAATGGCACGAGCTAATCGATATGGTTAGGTCCTCGTTTTTCACACAAAATTTGATACAGGTTCTTTGATCCATTTTTTTTGAATAGGTAAAAATCGAATACGATCTAAAACCAGAGTTTCTCGTTGTCTGCTAATAACAGTCTTCTCTACTCTTTACGAAAAGGCTCAGAGAACGACCGATTTATGGGTTCGTGAATGGGTTCGGTTGCGCTCAGACTGAAACCGTTTTTATCTATTCGGTTTTGTTCTGGTTGCTCCAAGACCGTTTTGTCAGTGAAGCAAAAGGTCTTTTGCATATGTATTGGTATACAGTGCACGTATAGGCAAGCAAATCGTTAAACATCGGTTTTGCGGACGAAATATATTAATCGTCTTCGTGAATTGAACGTGTGTGTGTAAATGCGAAGACCGTTTGCGTTGAGTTTTTCGGTCAATCGGTCTTTTGCTGACTCTCATTGTGCGAGTGTTTCTCGATCTGCTCCTTACGCACTGCTCATTGAAAGACCGAAATACAAAGAGCTCATCGAAAAGCGCTCAGCAGAGAACACAAATGATGACAGCAAGGGTCTCTTGCTCAGAGCGAGAGCGAGAGAGTATGAACTTTTTCGGTTGTGCTCGCATCGAGGGCACAAGATGAAAAACGGTCGACTGTTATTTGCGAGCTCTGTCTAAAACACGTGTAAGCAAAGCAGCTGTCAACCATTAAGTGAACATTCAAAATGGCCGAGCTTGTCGGCATAAGTAAGAGACATGAGGACCAACATAACGCTACAAAAAATCGAAATTCGATACGAGGTAACCCGCGAAAATTCAAAATTCGCGGTACTTTTTGAACACACCTCGTACGCCATTGTTTTTGATCATATCGACTTGATTTCTTCCAGATGGTGTTTTTAACTACTTTTGAATTTCGAATAAAATTTGATCAAAATATGATGCAATATGAAAAATTGAAAAATATATATATAAATAATGGAGCATGATTTTTAAAACATCGCCTGGTCATAAGAATCGAAAAACTATATCGTATAGCTGCCATAGTAGAAAAAAAAAATATAAAAAAAATGATAAAATCGTTGTGTTTTATCGGACAACTATAATTTTTGGAAAATAGATTTCGAATGAAATTTTTATCTAATCGGACCAATAGCATACAATAGCATACAGCTATCATATAAACAATTGTCGAAAATATAAAAAATTAATACAAAAATCGTCATATTTTCGATATTGTTTGGCATATTTGATGACTGCAAGGGTAATTAAGCTTCAGCTTACCAAAGCTAGCTTCCTTTCCTGTTTTTTTGTTTAAATTACAAGGGTTTATTTATTATTAATGCAATAAAACGACTCGTTTTTAGGACGTAATTGATTTATCCCAAGTCAGAAAAGTTTCCATTTCACCTTCCAAACCGAGTGGCCGCAAACCAAACCATGTGAGAAGCAAAAAAAAACGAAGAAAGCTGGAGTCGTCCGACGATGAGACTAGTGACACAGAAATTGCGTGAGCAAAATATAATTTTCTAGTTTAAAAATTTCTTTGTATAATTGAATTGTTTTGGTACATCTATATATAAAAAGAACTTTGCTTTCTTAAGTATAAAGTCAAATTAAAAAAAAATAATAATGTATGTATAATAAATAACAAAATGAGAACACAAAATGTTCCACTATTAGCAATAATTTATAACACATATTCTATCGATATTTTAAGATTCAAATAAAATTTGTAAGCCGATATAAAGTCGTTTTTCTGTATTAAATTGTAATTAATTGAATTAATATTATATATTTTATGGTTTCAGTAAAAATAATATTTTTGTTTTTATAAAAAAGTTAAGTAAACTGAATTTTTAACAATAAATGTTATATATCAAATCATCTGCTCAACAGTTTATCTTATTAAATGAAAGCTAGTAATTAATTTATTTTTAAACTGATGGAATTTTTTTAGTTTAAGAAAAATTTAATAAACTTGAGTTTATTTTACATAATTTTTAACGTAAGAACGTAAGAAATCATTCTTAATTTGTGTATTTTTAATTTTAAGGTCATTTTAGATTCAGTAGAAAAATTGAACTTCTTGTTGTAATTGTGTTTTATTTATTTAATTTAAGCTTATAAAAATATACTGTCGTATGTGGGGTTATCTTGGCATATTGCTTTTAAGACACAAATAAAATAGCCTTAGAGAAGTGATGATCGTTTTCGAAGCCTTTAGCATATCCTTTATCGCAAAAAAGTCAAAAAACTTTTTAACAGGTAACTATAAAATAAAAAAATGTTGAAAGTCTCAGTCTTCTTCTTTATTTCTATGCTGTCGCTGTCCAGGGTCTGCTTGCCAAACGTATAACCTGGCATTTACTGACGGTTGCTTGTCTGGTCTAAGGGGAGCGTTATACCAGTCCTCCTGGCGAATAAAAAAATTTTGAATGAAAAATACTAATTAATATTATTATTTATTTTTCGAAAAATCACTACATCAGTAATATATCGTACTATTAAATTTTTAAGGACCGCGGTGACTAGAAATGTAGAAAGTCTGGACGGGTCCTTTCTCCGAAAAAATGTGGGCGCTTCTGGGTTATCGACTAAAACTGATGAGCTAAGGACTAGTGACCCGAGGAAAGGATGCCGAAGGCGATTCTTTTCCTGTGCTCCTTGTGAGCAGCTGGGTCTCCGCGTTGCACTGAGAAATGCAGCTCTGGCGCAACACGGTTCCCGCCCGACACAAATTTTTGCACGTGGTCACTGAAAATAGAGGATACCGGAGGCTATCCTTTTCCTGTGCTTTTGTGGGCAGCTCGGCATCCGCGTTGCAGTGAGAAAACAGTTCTGGCGCAACACGATTCCCAGCAGTAACAAATTTCTGCACGTGGTCACATACAAAAAGGAGAAGCATTTTTCTTAATTTCTTTTGTGATTTTATTTCCCATTCTTGATCTTTTTACTTATTCCATAACATGCACTCAGACTGGGCTATCAATGATTTCTTTGCTCTTAACTTACTCTTTGGATCCTTGGCTTCGGTTTGTTCGCTTGAAGTTTCGCTCGCCTTGACTGTCATTCGGAATGAGCTCCGGTCACGCAGCAGCGCGAAACCCTCGGTTTGTAAAACTCCCCAAAAATGCAGGTGCAGGCGAAACTCCGCATAGTAACAGCGGGAGGAGCTGCTTGCGGAATAGCAGGTACCAAACAGGGAAATAACGGTATCGCTCCGGACCTTGGAATCCAGTCGGCAAGGGCATCCGGGTCGAACATTGAATCCGAAGACTTTGATCCGATGTAACGTTGAATCTGCGGACTTCGGACCCGCGCAATGAGGAGACTCCGTGAATTAACGGGACCTCGATGTACTTTGGACCCGATCACGTGAGCCAGCTGGAGAGGATAACGGGGCCAGCACGGGTTCTAGAAAGGAACAGCCACCGAGGATGGTCATATCGAAGACCCTCGCCTAGAGGAGAAAGTCGTACCAACGCGAGTGGAAACCCAGTGAATACGAAGTGCCAGAATCATCCGGATCAAGATCGCCAAATCAAGATGCCCAACGACGGTCACGTCCACATAAGCTAAGACTGACAAGCTGAGATCCAGAGGGTGCAAGTAAGGTGCGTCAACGAGTTTGAGGAACGACGCAGTTGGTGGATGTTGTGCGTAGGTGACCCGGTATCGATTTTCACGAATCTCTAGCTAAGCTGATTCTGCCTAACATATGCAAGCTGTAATCAGTGATGCAATCGTATTGAAACACTGCTCGATTCAAATCAGCACTTGATAAATATCTTTTGCGTCGCAAATTATCTATTTCTTGACCTCTGTTGTAAGCTCGACAATTCTGCATTGTCAACCGAGCCGTGTTACGGGTTGCCTCACTTTGTTCTTCTTATTGAGAAGCACGAAGTCGACCCATACTAACGCGGCGCTGTTCACGTGCAATGTTTTGTTCTCCTTCAGTCCTTTCATTTGCAGTATTTTGTAGTTGTTCAGAGGAATGCAACTAATTTGTTGCTACCGCTTTGTGCACTTCCAAAAAAAGGTCAATGTTTGTGATTTAAATGAGATGTGGTTTTATATTTGTGTCTCTGAGTGTTATTTGTTTGTTCTTGTGTACAATGCTTATGTGTTTTGCGTATACAAGATCGCGACCGACAACTTGCTTGCGAGGGTTTTGCGAGATCGAACGAAAAGTATTTAATTCGGTTAAGAGTTGCGAAAAGAATGAGATGATAAAGAAGATAGATAAAACAAGATAAGCAAAGTTAGGCGCGATTGCAATTATGCGGGTGTTGGTAAACAACTTTACGTTTACGTTACGTTACGTTACATTATCAGTTGGACATTTGAATTTAGGATAAAATTTACAAATTAGGGGTTCTGCTCCGAACATGCTCCCCCCGCTGGAAGAGTCACGCTGACAGACGAGGTGGTCTCAAAGGGCAGAACGGCTAACTTGCCAACAGCTCTTCGGATGATGCCTGCAGCTGTTCGAATAACTGCAACACGGGCCACACCATCTGGTCCAAGTACGATGCTCTCAACTCTGCCCATGCGCCATTGGAGTGAAGGAAGATTGTCGTCCTTAATGATGACTATACTGCCGGGCGACAAATTTGCCTTTTCTGATCGCCATTTCCCACGTTCCTGGAGTAGCGATAGGTAGGCAGTGCTCCACTTGTGCCAAATCGCCTGCTGCATCTGGCAAACTCGCTGCCAGCGACTTAGCCGATTGATGCTGAGATGGGTGATGTCGGGTTCGTCTATGGCGTTGAAAGCGGTGCCAATAAGAAAATGTCCAGGCGTGAGAACCTCCAAGTCGCTAGGATTTTCTGAAATGGGGCAGAGTGGTCGAGAATTAAGCATGGCAGACACTTCGCAAACGAGAGTACGAAGTTCATGAAAAGTCAAAACCGATCTTCCAACCACCCTATGAAAATGATATTTGGCTGCTTTTACTGCGGCCTCCCACAAGCCACCAAAATGAGGCGAGCGAGGGGGTATGAACTGCCAATTAATTCCGTTAGACAACAGGTAATTGCGAAGCTCGATATTTGGAGGATCAGCGAGGAAGATTTGCCTGAGCTCTTGCAACTCGTTTCTCGCACCAACAAAGTTTGTTGCGTTGTCCGACCAGATCGTGTTGGGCTTGCCCCTGATGCTGGTGAAACGCTTGAGAGCGGCGAGAAACGATGCGGTTGATAAATCCTCTACTAACTCCAAGTGAGACCCTTAGTTGCGAAGCAAATAAAAACTGCCACGTAACACTTCGCAGGGGGTCGATTCCTGACTTTCGATTTCGAGAAGAATGGGCCACAAAAGTCGATTCCAGTCGTTGTAAAAGGACGACATGGTTCCACTCGGCTGGCCGGCAAGGGGGCCATGATATGTTCCATCATTCTCGCCTTCAGTCTGAAACACCTGATGCATTTGTTAACGATAGTTGCGACTGTTTTTCTGCCTCTAATTGGCCAAAACCTCTGGCGCAAGGCAGCTAGTAGACTTTGCGGTCCTGCGTGCAAAAACTTGTGATGAAAATGAGCGACGATTGCTTGAGTTACAGGATGATCCTTTGGCAGCAAAATGGGATGTCTCGCATCGTAGTCCAGAAGCGAGTTTTGCAAGCGACCACCAACACGAATTAATCCTGAGTCATCTAGAATAGGATGCAACGACGAGAGCTTGCTATTTGATGCAACCTGCTTGTTCTTTCGCAATGCTTTGTAGTCCTCTGCGAAGAAAACACGCTGGATCCCTTTGATGAGTAGATGTGTGCCACCTTTGACGTCATCGACTGTGAGTGGTCCTTTGCGACGCGTTTGATTTTGGAATTTGAGAAGCCAGAACCGGTATATGTATCCAAAAACTCGCTGCAGCTTTCCAAATGAGTTTTGAAATTTGCAATCGTATGAGATATCCTGCTTCTCGGTTACAACTAAAACCATGCGAGACGTTCAGGCAAGTCGTCCACAATAGGCGCTATATTTGGCCAGCACGATGAATCCGAACGTAAAAATGGAGGTCTCTCTCGCCACAGGTTAGACTCCAAGAGCTCGAGAGGTGAACATCCACGCGATAATATATCGGCAGGGTTCCAGTGTGTGGGTACATGACGCCATGTCATGCTCTTGGTGCGATCCTGAATCTGCGCAATTCTGTTGGATACAAATATATTAAAATCTGATGGAGGTTTACGAATCCAAGAAAGCGTTATGGTTGAATCAGACCAACAATAAAAGTTGCAATCAGATGAAATGGTTAGGGTAATGTTTGAGATGAGCTCTGATAACAATAGCGCTGCGCATAATTCCAATTTGGGTATGGTGAGGGTTTTTAGAGGCGAAACTCTAGATTTGGAACAAAGTAAATGAGTTGAGATACAGCCATGAGTTTCAGATCTGACGTAAACGCAGGCGCCATACGCTGCTAAACTTGCGTCACAAAAAGCGTTTTCAATCAACTGTTATTGACAACAGACGTGTTTTTATATCGCTCCGCCGAGTAACTAAAAATACATCGGAAATATCAGATTTCTATTTCGCGAAATTCGCTCAGGGTACGCGTGGGTTCACAAATTTTGCCACGCGCGATAAGCTCAAATAAATGAGCGGCGAGCAAAATAATGACCGTAGAAGCTCCGTAAACCAAAGAAACGCTTGTTATGCTTATTTCTCAACCCGCGATACCGAAGTAGAGAAAACGTCTATAAAGAGCAACCCGGCCCTACTGACCGTCGAAAGCACGAGAGCCCGCTCTCTATCACCAGCCCTACTCATTCCAATTCCTACATCTTGGAGTTATCAATGCCAGACCCCACCACCACCGGCTTCTATGGGAGACGCACCATCAACAAGCAGTGCTTTAATTTCTACTACCTCAGCAAAAGTAACGGCAACAACTAAAGCAACGACCAATATTGCGAAAACGGTGTCAACGGCTCCATCGCAAACTGCAACAGCAACAAAAACCGTAAGCTTTGATAAGCAACAAGCGGTTCCGGCCATACAGACCGGTATGGATCGCTACATCCAGATAAAGCGTAAGCTTAGTCCGCAGAACACGGTTGGTAACAAACCAAAGATCAACCGTACAATCCAAGCCAAGGAAAAACCAGTATTTCAAACAACAGCAATAGATTTTCCCTCTTAGCAGATGGTGAGACCCAAGCTGAGCCGGAGCAAGTGACCCAAAAGAAACCAAAGCCCCCACCTATTTA